ATATATATATGTATGTATCTATTAGGAGATAAAACAAGATTGCATTTAAAACCATTTTAAGTATTGCTATCTTAGAATTACAGTAGCCGTAAGTATCTATGACAATGTGTAGTAAACAGCCAGAATGTTGTAGTAGAGCTGATAACTCGTTGCAAAAGTTTTGACTACAACTGCCATGTCTGTTTGGTGGCCGGTTTGTTGTTGTTGGTTTTTTTTTAACTGTCCTGGTTTGTAGCCAGCGTAACCCCATTGAAATTTCCTGTTAGGTTCCCTTAACCCGGCAGAGTGATTCCTCTTCAGCTCACCTTTCTCTTCATTAACTTTCTGTAGTTTTGCCGTAATTCCTCATCTTGCTTTTTTCCAGTTTTATCCTGACATTCCCTGTTGCTGATAGAACCACTGGTAGCTAAGGTTTTGCCAAGTCATGCTATTACTGCGGACAGACAGTGTTTCATGATACATGAAGCTCTTTTCTCCTGGCCCTCCTTGCCAGAGTGAGCTATGTTTGTGGAAACACCCCGTCTGCTTCTTTCCAAGCAAGCTACTGCAAGCCAGTGGTCTAGTTCTGTGCAGATCCTTAGATACTTAGAGCAATACTTCCCACACACATACAAATCCATTTAACTTAATGACCAATTAAGCATTTAGAATATTTAGCTTCGTAATGCTTCTATCTTCTCAGCTTGCTACAATTATATTAGTAATGAATACTGTTCATGACAGTACCTCGTTGCACAGCAAAACATAGTAAGTTCAGTACTGCTGTCCAAACACATTTTTTGCCAAAGGTTTGCTAATAGTTAATATTGCTCATTTACATATGCTCTAATACTTAGAACATATCATGTTTTATTTTGAATTATGTATGTTTATAATAACAGACGCAGTCTTTGCTAAGAGTGAGTGAATGTTACGTTCCTTTTGTCCAACCCTTGCTTCCCCAGCTGTCAAAATTGAATAAGATAAATAATAACTAAGAGTCTTATTCTACTAACGGATCAGAGGCTTCAATTCTGAAAGTCTCAAAAATGTGGTTTCCCTTTTCTGGCCTGAAGAAGTAGATAAGACCATTTACAAATACCAGCTTCTTTGGGTGCACTCAGTGACAGCGGAGTCTTGACCTTTTATTTGCCAGAGGCATCTATGATTATTTTGGTAGGCTTATCCATAAGTAAGCAAATAAAACTACAGTTACTTGATGGTTGCCAAAATGTCAGTCCAGTGGTGACACTGACAGTGTTGAATCACGCCAACACTGGACAGCTGAAAGAATTGTAAAGAGAGAGACTATGGTGTTATTATTCATGTGCAGTTTCCTTACCAACTCCTCATATAATGTAGTTGTACTGAGGGGAATTTTAGTTTGGTTTAGTAAAATCTTATGTTGTTACAGCACTGGAAATGTAAATGCAACAACAGTTGGCTCTTTGTTGTTTGCATCTTCCCAGGAGCACATGGAACTTTACTGCAGGTTAAACCTCCACTTTTTCTTGGCACTTCATATTATGTAACTCCTAATAAAGGCAATTGGAACATAAAGGAAAATGCACATCTGTTACTTTAGCTTTAGTTAATACCTCTGAATTTGTCTTGGAATTGCAAGATAACTCTCTGCCATATTTATATGTATTGATGCTCTATTTGGAATCACTTTCTTGCTGTGAAAACAGTACGATTAATGTCTGTCAGTCACCTAAATCAGCTTAAGCCTTCTGTTTCTGTTTTGTTTATATACATTCTAAAGCAAAAAAAATAAAGGTTGGACTATGGCATTAGAAACAGCTGCAAAAGAAAAGCATAAACCAATAAAGTATATTCCTACATCGTAGTTGATGAAAGGGGTCTTCCTTACTTGCTCTAATAACTTAGCTTGTTTGGGGTTCTAGCTCTGCAGGTTGATGCCTCATGAAAGATTTGTGTTGGAAATCTATTTTAACCTTTCACCTGATGTTGTTAAAAGATGGACTCTGCATTACATTGGACCTTTATTTATTTATTCTCCAATTATTTTTTAGGGAAGCCTACTTCAGTAAAGTAGAACTTTCTTGTTGAATGTAGCTGGAATAATCCAGTTTCCCCTCCCTTGACCAGTGTTAAATTCACATTCAGAGCTGAATACTCCTAGATAGGAATGCCTTTCTTGCAAGTAAAACATTTTTAAGACTGTCAGAAAATTTTAGGAAGCATTCATTTTATAGGCATTTTTCTAAACATATTTTACAATTTTAATAAGTCCAATAATAATAATACACATCACATGTTCACTTCTTTTTTTAACTACTTTCTTTTTAGATGGTTTAAATTTCAGGGTCTTCCAATCACACATTTATTGATTAAATTAAGGACTTGTGTTTACTGTAAATTAAAAAAACCCCAACAAATGTTTATCCAAAATGAAAATTAATTCAAGTTTGAAATGCCTCTGCAAATCCTCACAAATCTGTATTACCTGCTCATTTTGCACTTAGTCTCTTTTATATGCTAGAATTCCCAGGCATTCACTTTTGCTGAGAGACAATGATGGGTCCTAGAAAATTAGTCCTGCCACAGATGGGACTCAGCACAGTCCACAAATAGAATGGGAGAAGTATCTAAATAACAGCATTTAATGGAACAAAAACCAAACCAACCCACCATACAAAACCAACACCAAACCAAACAAACAAAAAACCAGAACACGCAAACAAACCCAAAGTAGAACAAAATAAGCATAATTGTAAAACACTTTGAAATAGAAGTCCCCTTCTACCCTCTACTTTCTTTACTTCCTATTGCAAAGCAAGTGACATTACTGAAGTGTTGCCTATAATGTATTTAAGTAGTCTAACAATCTTTATTCATGTGGCAATGAGGCAGTGAAGGCACTGACAGGTATAAGTCTTGTGCATCATCTGTTAATAACTTGAGAAGTTCTGACAATACTTGCTTCTTAGGAAAGTGGATATTCTATAAACAAAAGATTGATGTTATCCTAGAATACTGTGGAGAACAGCAGAAGGTCTGATAACCGTGACTGAGAGCACAGTGTTTCTAATACTGATATGATTCTAGATTATTTAATCAAAGGTGGGCTATATATTATGAAGGGATCATTCAATCCAGAGCACCATTTCAGTTATTCTCTAATTAAATATATCCAGGAGTTCAAATAACCATCTTTACTAATAGTTCTTAATATACTTCAGACTTTTTTACTCATAGTTGAGGACTGAATGCTTTAATCTTAGTAGTGCTTTATACATAAGACAAACCATTAAATGATGACACTCTTCAGTGTGACAGAAGTCATCAAGATTTGTCACAGTGAAAAATGTTGTTGGCTTTACTGGATAGCACCTTCCTCTGCACCTCATAGTCTTCCACTGACTTTTACCTTATTATGGAGGTCATATTCTTGTTCTTATTTTCAGTTGCAAGCCTCTACCCAGCTGTAATCCGTAAACTCTGCTTCTTAATATTCTTCCAGACTTCTTCATTCCATGGATTAATTTTGAGTGGCCTCTTTTGTTATTGTTTATACATTGCTGGTCATGTCTTCTTCTAGACTGTCTCCTATTCTTAAGCTTTCTCTTTATTCCATCATGTAATGCACCACTTTGTAAAGATACTATGTTCTCGTTGCAGAAAATGACTTAGACGTGTACCTAAACCAATTTCTGGAACTTCGTCAAAGACTGTTGTACGCTGAAAAGGAAAATAAGAAAAGATCACAGGAACTGAGCAGTGCCTTAGATGAAATTAAACGTGTAGTTGCAAAAAGAATGAACTTGACAACAAATCATACAGGTTTGTATGTATAAAAATGTACTGTGTTAACTGTTCAAAGTTTTGTGCGTTCATGTTTCTATGATTCTATGTTTCTTTATCACCAGTGTGGGGAGGAAAATCATTCATTTTATTATATTAGCATTAGGTAGAAGCATCTACTTTTTAAACAGGGTGAAGTAATCTGTAGCCCCTCTTTAAATAGGATCAGTTAGTAACAAAGTAAGGAGGGGAAAAAGAGGGGACACCATAGATCACAGTGGTGTCATAATGGCAAAGCTGTACATATTGCTAAACGAGTTTCTTACAATGCTTATCCTTGTTTTGCTGCCAACTACAGAGCACTGAATAAGCAATTTTTAACAGCTCCTACTATGCCACTACACCCTGGTAAATACTAGGGCTGTGTCTAACCTGGAAGGCAGGTATACCTCTTCAGACGTTCCACAGTCCTGGTGTCCCTCCTGTCTAGGTGGAGTGACATTTTTGGGCCATGAGTGCCTTCCCATCCTGCCAGTGGACCCCAGGCACCACGGTGTGTGTGGTGGGTGCACAATCTCATCTCAGCAGGCATACAGACTGCATACAGCTGGGTGCTTGCCTGAATCCAGGAGCTGAGAAGCCCCGTGAGGTCTTGCTGGCTAGATACAGCCTAAGAATGTTCCCTCTAGAATTTCTTTCTATCTTGCAAGTAGTTTATTAATAATCTGAAGGAAATGTGAATGCCAATTAAAAGAAGACCTTTGAGAAGGGTTTCTCTGATTTTGTTTGTTTTTAGACCGACACCAACATGCAGTTTATTTCAGTGACACAGCTTCTTCCCGTTGCTTAATTAAACTTCTTAGTTATTTAAAAATGTATTAGATCCTTGCCTTCCAGACTGTTATACATTCCCATCTATCTGACCTATCTGTACATTGTCGTTGTGTACAATAAGGTTAGACTGTTTGATTCTGTCCTTTAAAAGAAGTGATGTAGTGGTGCAGGATCTGCCTTCCTCCCTGTCAGCTGGAAGAGCTACTTCCCTGAGGAGAGAAGGAAAAGTATAAGGGGCATCTCTGTGCTTTTTGTGAGGCATTCCACAACACCCCTGACTTCAAAAAGAGTGTAGGTGCTACTGAAAACTACTTTTTAAAAAGTCCTTATTTGCATTCAGTACAGTGCGCTGGTATCAGATTGAAACAGGGAATTAACCAGGACTTTTAGAGGGGAAGAAGGAACAAGGTGCTGTCCTGCCCTGTGTAGTCAGCTTTGTTTCTTAGCCTGTTCTTCCCTGCCTTTTTTTGTCTGTTTATTCAATATTAATTCAGTGGGACTGTTAGATGCATCTGAACAAATGCTTGAGTGTTGGCAGGGTTGTGGTCTTAACAAGTTTTAGAACAGAGACCATGTTGTCAGCCACCAGTCATGTCACATACTGTGGATAAAGAGTTATTGCCTAATACATGTAACAGCAGTAGAGGAGAGCGCAAGTTCCGCTTCTCTCTGCTCTTCATTCTTAGTGGAGCCAGCTGAATGTCAGAAAGTATTAAAGCTGTCAATTCACAGGATTCAAAGCAGAAATTTCTTAAAATCACTGACGAGTTTCCCTTTTACTTACTCTTCTGCTTCCCTTTCCGTCCAAGTTTTATTGTACAACAAAAATGGAAAGGCTTATTGTACGCAGTCAAACAAAAAACTCCTTTGCCCAGCCCTTGATAGGTCCTACTTCCAAATAAAAATGGAAAGTCCTTGAAAAGTTGTGAAGGTTGTTTTAAAAAAGGGAAATGTTTCTGTGCAGCAAAATTCCGGTATATTTAATAGCAAAGGAGAGTGGGAGGAGTTGTCAGTCTCTCTTTCACACACAAATGTCTGGACATACACATGTGTTTTGGTTGTTTTGTTTCGTTGTTTCTTTTCAGTTTTTTCTGTAGAGTGGGGAATCTCTCTTAAGTCCTAATTTTCAGTGGGAATATTTTTTGGAAGTTGAAAACCTTTAAATATTGCCCATTGAGTCTTCACTGATTTAAGCTGAGTGAATAAAGGTTGTTTGTATGACCTGTTTTAAGTAACTTTGAAGGGTGGTAAATTTGGGGAGTTATTTTAGATGCATTTCTTAGGAAAAATAACTTTCCACCTAAGTCAGTAAATCTCCTTTTGCTTTTCTGGCTGTGAAACTGTGAATTTTCAAGTTTTCTGCAGCTTGGAAGGCTGTTGATGTGATTTTGTTGGGTAAAACTAGTTGAGGCGGTGTTCTGATATCAGGAATACC